AGCAGTGAGAGAAAGATGGATGAAGACGACGGCGATTCTCCTATTTCGTTGAGTGCACTCAGAGCGGAACTACATATGCATCGTGAGGCAGTGATTAAAGTCATTAAATCCCAAATGGAAAGCATTCATCTGGAGATGCAAAAGAATCGAGAGGAACAAGACAAAAGAATAATCCTACGGCTAGCATGGGTCAATGATCGGCGAACAGAATCAACAGGGCGAGACTAGAGGGATAAATCCAGGTACACAGGCAAAGATCAGAAACCGAGAAAACAGACAAGGCAAGACTAGGCTAGGCTAAGACTATGAAACTAAAGTAGGCTCCGTAACGTAGCTATCACAACTAGCGATATGCGCATACAATACTTGGCCGTTTGAAAGGGATCAGAGTGAGTGTTATATAGTGTGAGTTATTGGATGCAGGTGAGTGCGCAATCAGTGCAGTGGAGCATGGGAGATGTAGTCCATAGTGATGTGTGACAGTCTATGTGGAGTGAGTGTCAATATGGTGAGAGAGCGACCTCTTGTGTTCATTGGATGAAAGTCCATGGACTACATTTGTGACAGTAAATAGGTCTATAGAGTACTTTTTTGTAATGTTTTTGGAAAGGAGCTAAGTGGTAAGTCAGACAGTTTACTATCCTTTTTATTAATGTTATGGGTAAAAAGAGTTCTCTAAACTCGCTCTGTTCTTTTTTGTGACTTTCAATCAAAAAAAGGTAAACTGAGCTATTGTGCAAATTGTTCAAGTTTTTTTAGTTGTTAAAAAAACAAATATTGGCAAATTTTTCTTTTTCTTTTTGTCCTCCCCTTTCCCCTTATACTTTGAATGCTGCTTCCCACAATATTTCTCAAAACTCTGATTATGACTAGCAGGAAAGTAAATGCTGTAAAGAAAAATCACATTCAGTTTATTTCATGGAATTGTAAAGGGCTCAATGGAGCGATAAAACGGGGAAACGTATTAGCACATCTTGGGAGACTGGGAGTTGATATCACATTTTTACAAGAAACGCATTTAAAGAACCAAGACCAGAGCAGATTAAGAGGAAGATGGGTGGATCAAGTATTTCATTCAAACTTTAACTTTAAGTCTAGAGGTACAGCTATTCTCATAAAGAAGGGTATACAATTTACTACAACAAAAGTTATTTCTGATTCCAATGGACATTATGTTATAATAGTGGGGAAACTCTATAACACACCAATATTGTTTGTCAATATATATGCTCCCAATATAGATGATGAACAATTTATATATTCTGTTTTGAACATCTTGCCTAATCTGGATACTCACCAGTTGATAATGGGGGGTGATTTTAACTTTGTGTTAGACCCAATCTTAGACAGATCTTCAAATAGAACGGTACCCCTACCCAAATCAGCCAAATTGCTACAAAGGTTTATGAAATCCTTTAAAATAATAGATCCATGGAGATTTACCTTTCCAAACCAACAAAAATATTATTTTTTTTTGCCAGTTCATCGCACATTCTCTAGGATAGACTATTTTTTAATAGATTGCAAACTTTTGTCAGCAGTCACACATTGTGATTATGAAGCAATGGTGATATCGGACCATAGCCCCTTAGTTCCCCTTCAGGAACTCGAGCTGCATCGGAAACGCTAGGGGCATTCCCAAAGCATTTCCGACGCAGCGTCTTGTTTCCTCGGGGAACCATGGTTACATTCTTAACCTGGAGACGTTCCCCTTCAGGAACTTGAGCTGCGTTGGAAACGCTTTGGGAACGCCCCCAGCGTTTCCGACGCAGCGTCTCGTTCCCTCGGGGAACCATGGTTACATTTGTAACCTGGAGACGTTCTTCAGGTAGTACTTGAAGCCAAATATGATATGATTAAATGGAGATTTGATAATAATTTGTTAGCAGATAAGACATTTGTAGAACAAACCAGGGATCAAATAAGGTTATATGTAGAGACAATTAATACGGATAGATGTTTCTAAATCCACAATTTGGGAAGCATTTAAAGCATACATGCGCGGACAAATTATTTATTATAATGTCTTAATCAGGAACCAATGTAAAGAACAAAAAAAGAAATTAACGGACAGAATACTAGAAATAGATAAAGAGTATGCGATTTCCCCCTCACCAGAATTGTATAAAGAGAGGCTTTCTCTCCAGTCAGAATTTCAGTTATTATCCACTTCAGAGACTACTGATCGTTTGATACGGGCAAAAGCCACGTATTATGAGCATGGAGAGAGAGCAACTCCTCGCTTGGCAAATTAAAGAGACAGCGGCATCAAGAATGATAATGGAAATTAGGAAAGAGACAGGACAAATTACATCCAAGCCACAAGAAATAAATCATATTTTTTAAAACTTTTATATTAAATTATACTCTTCAGAATCTGTCAACGACCCATCATGTATAGCCCAGTTTCTTGATTCACTTAATATACCCTCCTTAAGCATGGAAGATAGGGAAGTTTTGGAACGGCCACTAACTATTGATGAAATCTATGAAGCAATATCCAACATGCAATGTTCAAAGTCCCCAGGTCCAAATGGTTTCACAACCGAATTTTATAAATGTTTTAGTGACCAAATTTCACCTTTGCTTTTAGAGGTTTTTAATTAATCATTTGAAAGAGGCTGTCTACCACCAACATTTTATCAGGCTAATATTTCTTTAATACACAAGGCAGAGAAAGACCCCTTAGAGCCTAGTTCATATAGACCTATCAGTCTTCTTGACGTTGATAACAAAAGTTTGGCCAAGGTTTTGGCTACCAGACTTGAGAAAGTTCTCCCCTCTGTGATCTCCACAGATCAAACAGGATTCATCAAGAATTGCATCTTATTCTTTAATATTAGAAGATTATTAAATATTATTTACACATCAAGTCCCAATCCCACTCAGCCCGAGGTACTTATTTCTATAGATGCAGAAAAAGCCTTTGATCGGGTTGAGTGGGATTATATTTTCACCACTTTGGTGAAATATGGATTTGGTTCTAATTTTATTTCATTTATTAAATTACTATATGCCCACCCTCAAGCTTCTGTACAAACAAACAATAACAACTCTGGTTATTTTCCATTAAGTTGGTCTACAAGACAGAGTTGTCCTCTGTCACCCCTGCTATTTGCTTTAGCTATAGAACCCTTAGCAATTTCTTTACGTGCATCCACGGGCTATAGTGGGATAATAAGAGGGGGAAAGGAACACAAAGTATCGTCATATGCGGATGACCTTCTAGTTTACATTTCTATCCCTTACAATCAGTACCAACCATTATGTTAATTTTAGACAAATTTGGAAAAATCTCAGGATATAAGATTAATTTTTCTAAAAGTGTTATATTCCCGATCAACCCTAAAACCCAATTAGAAATACTGTCATAGTTTCCTTTTAAAATAGTAAACTCATTTAAATATCTAGGGCTCACCATAACTAAATGTTTTTCTACACTTTTTAAATAAAATTTTCTGAAGCTGTATGAAAACACTCAACACACTTTTAAGAAGTGGTCCAATCTCCCTCTCTCTTTAGCAGGTCGCATTAACATGGTAAAAATGAGTATTTTGCCCAAATGCCTATTTCTTTTCCAGTGTATCCCAGTCTACATTAACCCTAACCCTAATGTAATTTTTCAAAAATTTGGATAAAATAATTACCCAATATATTTGGAAGAAAAAAAAAACTAGAATCAAGAAAGTATATTTACAGAGGATTAAACCGAAAGGAGGGATGTGTCTACCTCATTTTCAGCTGTATTACTGGGCATGTAATATAAGAGCACTCTCATTTGGAATGCATGAGGGGTCGATTTAATGGTGTGATATGGAAAATAAATCATGCTCACCTTCCTCTTGGCCAGCTTTAATCTATTCAGCTTTGTCTACCCCCCCGTCCAGCTCGATTGAACAATCCAGTGGTTTCCAATTCATTCAAAATTTGGAAACAGATAAGAAAGCATTTTAAGTGGCAAGCATGCTCTGTTTTAAGCCCATTAATCGCTAATCATTAATTTCTCCCTTCCCAAATTGATTCAATCATTCAGATCTGGTCCAATAAAGGTATACACTCCTTTCAAAATGTGTTTATTAACAAATGTTTTCCAACATTTCAGCAGTTACAGCAGATATTTGATTTACTTACTACACATTTTTTAAAATACTTACACACTCACGTTTTGCTCAAAATTATTTTTCATTGTTTCCTTGTGAGCCACCAACTCCTCAAATGGAGGCATTGTTTTTGCAGAACCCATTTACAAAAGGAGGAATTTCAATTGTATATAATAAATTATCACAGCTAGAATATGATGTTTCATTAGAGCATCTAAAGACGGCATGGGAAGATGACCTTGGAATAGATATCGAAGACTGGCAATGGGATGAAGCACAAGAATTTCACTCTTCTTCCTTGTGTATTAGACATGGTCTAATACAATTCAAGATCCTACATCGACTTCACCTGTCTAAACTAAAGCTCTCTAAGATGTTTTCCTCTGTAGACCCACTATGTGATAGGTGCGGTCAAACTCCAGCATCACTAGGACATATGTTTTGGAGTTGTTCTAAGATTAGTAATTATTGGATTTCAGTTTTTAATTTATTGTCAGAAGTGTTGGGAAAGCAATTGGATCCAGACACAATTTTAGCTGTTTTTGGTGTCAGTAGTGATAATATGAAGCTATCTAAAAACCAACATATAATGCTTGGATTCGTTACACTCTTAGCACGTAGATTGATTTTGCTCAACTGGAAATAGAAAGAGCCACCCCACTGCTCGGCACTGATTAAAAATGATATGTCCTACCTGCAACTTGAAAAGATAAGACTTTCCCTAAAAAATAAAACTAAAAATTTGTATGCAGCATGGAAGCCTTTTATTAATTATTTTAATAAGAAAGCAATAGTTGAACCCTAATGTAAGCAAACACACCGATTCTGAGAAGCTCAGAGTGATACATCATAAGATTACACTCATACATGAAAATAACTAAAGAAAGCTCAAACACTCACCTCAAACAATGTTTCTAGATATTTCTATTTCCTCCTCTGAACCGTTGTGTTGAACAGCAGCTCTGAAATTTCTTTCACTTCTGTAAAATAAGTTAAACCTGCTTCCTGTTTTCTTTCAGGAAGAGACATGAGAATCAGAAGAATGCGTCAGAAATCAACACACACACACACACACACACTCTGATCTGGTTCCTTATAAAGATTCTCAGGAAATTGTACTGCTGTCGTTGCACAGATTTTTCAGTGTAATTTTAATTACATATTAGGGATAAAGCCGAAGCTGACAAATTCTGACAAATAATGGAAAAGATATACAGTAATTTCATGTGCTTGCTGGTGTGAATGAGGTGTTATAGATCATTTGGAGATTGTGTTAAATTCAGGACAGAAAGCACACAGATAATTACCTGACTTTCCAGCAGATTCATCACTTGCAATTCTACAGAGTAGACTGAAATGTTTTCCACATTATTTGTAAATGCTGGTGTGGACTACATTATTTCCTGTCTCGGTTCACATATATTTTGTTTCAATATTCTGTATAATTATGAAAGAAACAGGCTCGTATGTAGTTCCATGGACTCTCAACTTTAATTCCTGATTTCCCTGCAACCCATAACAACCCAGGTACCTCCCATATATGCATAATGAAGGGAGATTGAGGTCTTTGCAGAGCAAAAGTGGGCATTTCCGACTTTGTGGGTGTTTTCAAACTGATGGGTGTTTCTAAATGATGCAATGAAAATGATCCCCCTTACCCAGGGCTCGAATTGAGGGGGGATGGCATCCCCCTGGTTGAAAAAAATGACAAAAAGCATCCCCTCAGTAAAACCACCATCCCCCTTACCATCCCCATTGGATTAATAATGTGTATTATGTAAAACTTATCATGCAAATGAAATGTTAAAATTATATACTTAAGATAATTCACAAATAACGGCGACTGGCCGATCAGAACTCGGTACTGTAACAAGCTGCGCACAAGCGGAAGCAAGTATTCATCATTTTTCACGCAAAATAGTTCAAGCGCAACTTTTGAATTTCTTTAAAAAGAAGACAACAGAAAAGGTATGATTTTTCCTTCATTAGAATTTAAAAACATTCCCGTCATAATGTTATTGTGCTGTATGTGTAACTGTCTGTGAGGGATTGAGAGATGATAGGAGAGCTGACATTATCGAGTCATCGACCTTGCAAAAACCAGACAAAAACACGTCTTGAGAGTCCAAAAGCATTCACTGCGTGATGAAGCCTATTAGAATACAGGTAACATAACCTTATAATTCAAGCAATTAAAGAAAAAATACCCATGTATGAGTTTTTATGTTTTTATATTCATTGCACAAGCAATGTACTTTTCTGAATATCAGTAGGCCTACATGCGCGAGCACAAATGTGCTATTAATTTTAAACAACAGTGCATAGTAACACTGTTTCGTTCCTTGAATTAATCAGTTTTTGAACGAATCAAGTGAGCCAGTGATTCAACGGCCCATTCAGATGGACACTTTCTCTGCGTCCCAATGTGCATACTATCCAGCCTGTGTGCCCTAAATAGTATTGAAAATTACTAATATCACATAGAATTTAGGATGGATATTGTGCACATTGGGACGCAGGCTTGTTACGTTTCTAATTGAATCAGACGTTTTGAATGAGTCGTTTGATTTGAACGATTCAATAAATAATTGATCAAAACAAGGGCTTGCTGCCACCTACTGGTGGTTTTATTGTCATCATTATTTATCCATGACAGGCCTAATGTAAATGACCAGCCAAGGTTTCATCACAAAAGCAGGGACCCACATAATTTTTTTTACAATTCGACCACTGCCCTTACCTAACCCCACCCCTAAACCTACCCGTCACTATGACATCAGCCAATCAGGTAACATGGTCGAAAACGCCCCCCTGTTTTGCCCTCACCCACCGATCTGGTAACTCTTCTTCAGCAACATCTTTAACCCTCTGGGGTCCGAGGGTGTTTTGGGGCCTGGAAAAGTTTTGACATGCCC